AATTGCTGAATTACAAAATGTATATCAACTCAAAGAAGCACACATGAAATTTTAAAGTGAGAGCACATTCACTTAAAAATTTTTAGGTGCAATAGTATTACAAAATACCTAAGTTGGATATTTTCACCAGAGTTTAAAAGTAGTTCATTTTGGTCAATATATACTGACTAAAGCAATAGTTATTTTGTGGAAAAGAAAGATAAAAATAAAACAAACAAACAAAAAAACATCCAAATAAGTTTCAAATGTCTGTCCTATCTTCATTAGTTCTATATCTTTAGTGATACTTTTTTTTTTTTTTTAACTACAGCAAAAATTTAAAACCACTGCCTTCCTAGCAGGGTTTGTGTATTTCTATTATTACCTGGGAGACTGTGCTCTGCGAGTCATCCATAGGCCTGGCCAAAGAGATTAACTCTTTCATTGTTATTTTCAACAAATCCATTTTGCCTTTCTTAGGTTCTGATGCCAATAGTGCCTATGGAAAAACAAGGCAAAAATTAAGAAGGCTCTTATTTTACACATATCTATTTGCTGCTTCCCAGAATCAATCCCTAAATGTGAAATCCCCTTTATAAAAACATGTGGTATCAAGCAATTTAATTAAGCCATATGGCCTTGGGCAAGTAACTCAACCTCTCCAGCCCTCAGATTCTTTACCTGTAAAATTAAGTAATGTTGCTATCATGGAATCTCTAAGGTCACTTCTAGTTTGCTTGTTAATTACATAATTCTAACCGGGTGAGAATGGGTCTTATTGACAGTTCTTTTAGGACCATAATTAAGTGGCAGGTCTTAGATACAAAAAGCAAGTCAGTGTTAGTAACAAATTTAACCAACGAGAAAATTCTCTTTACTTAAAAAACCCAAAACCTCTGGATTAAATTTATTTTAAGAATTTGGAAATGCCCTGAAGATTGATCAGTTATTTAATTCTTCACTATATAAGAGCCTTGACCTGAAGGACTATCAAACTGTAGCACTGGAAACTCCATGAGACTCCAAAAGAAAATACTACAAACTCCAAAGGGGATCTATATTTGAATTTTTAAGAGCTAGCTATTTACTTACTTTGTGTTTAACATTTTGCCCAAGCTCAATAAACATAAAAACAGGATGTCAAACCACTTGAGGCAATAAAAAGGAGTGAAGTACTGATGCATGCTACAACATGGACATACCTTGAAAACATTATGCCAAGTGAAAGACGAACACAAAAGACCACATATTATATGATTCCATTTATACAAAATGTCTAGAATCGGCAAATCCATGGAGACAGAAAATAGATTAGTGGTGTGTAGGGCTAGGAGTAACAGGGGTATTAAAATAGGTATGTAGCTACTGGCTCCCAAGAGTGAAAAGCTTCAAGCTACTCAGCTTCTTCTGAAGCATTTATAATCCATAAGAGAGGAAAGTAAAGATACACAAGGAAAATATGTTTAAAAGGGAAATTTCTCATAGTATATTTATGTTCACTATGTTCATCACGACCATTCAAAAAAATGTTATATCTTTCTACACAAAAAGTAAGCTCATAAACTAAGTAGGCAGTTAAACAGTTTTCCACTAGCACAAGAATATAATTTTATTAGTAAGTTATACTTCTCTGGGCAGATTTTTCTAATAATTTAGAATTTAACTAAAATAAATAAGAAAGCTATATGCAATTCCTGAAATGTCTTCTGGGAACCATGGCTTTTTTCCCCCAAGTGCATATGACACTCTTCCCAAGGATGGGCTAAGAAAGTGCATCTCCTGATTGCTCTATCACTATGACCAGTATTTAGTAATAGTTAGGGACCAAAGGTGAAATAAGCATACAGTACAAACAAACATGTAACCAGATCTTGATGTTGCCTTAACATTTGTCCTCAAACAGACAAGTGAGGAAAAATGAATGAGGAATGTAGGTTAAAACGAATTACAGGTAGGAGAATGAATCATTTGATCTAGAATGGGTCAGATTAGAAAGAAGTTGATTATTGAAGGTCATCAAAATCCATCCAGCAGAACTTCCTCAACCTCTGAATCAAATCAATTCTGTTGCCTATTGTCATTAAAAAAAAAAAGTGACTGAAAATTTGAGGGAGGAATAAGAAAGAGAAGGTTAAAATTTAGGGGCACTAAAAAACAGAGACTACGTATTTTCATTGCTTTTATTATACTACCCTCATTCCTAGATTTTGTCTTACTGAATATTAAACAAAGACCTTTCAGGTCAGGGTCTAATTTCACCTTATGAGAACTTTGGTTTTTATTCTTTGGATTCCTGAAGGTGACAGCCTCTTAATTTCAATACTGTGGAAATAAAACATTTTCCCATCAAATAGCAATATCTGGGTGTGCTGATATGTAGCAATTTTTAAGGTAAAATGTTAAGTGAAAAAGAGCAAGAGGCAAAACAGTGTGTACAGTATGCTTTCAATTGTGTTAAAAAAGAAAACATACACACACACACATTCTCATAAGCAGAGGGGTTCAGGAGGCCAGTTGGCTGGGCTCAAGTCTTAGTTCTGCTCTTACTATCTCTATGGCCTTTGGCAAGTCACTTAATTTTTCAAAGCTCCAGTCTCTTCATCTCTAATATATGGATGATAACAGGATCTGTCTCGCAGGGCTTGTGGAAGGATTAAGTGAGATAATATATGTGAAATAAGTACTTATAAATGTTAGCTACTATTAGGATTAAGATTATTTTACACTTGGACATTTTATGCAAGGATTCAAAGAAACTGCTAACATTGGTTGCCTACACAGAGGATCTTAAAGGTCTTGATATGATAGGAAGACTATTTTTTTCTAATTAAAAAAAAAAGGCAACATGCAGTCCTTGGAAGTGAGCAATGAATGTGCCACAGTGATGTCTGCCTACTTAATAAACAGGTGGAAATCTATACCACCTGCTGTTCTCTTTACAAGACTGACCTCTTAGAGGATTTTTCCAAGAACACATCTATCACAGGAACACACTGTACACACACTAAAACAAAGATACAAATGCACGACAGAAATGTACCTCATGCAATATGCTCCCTCACATGTCAAGGGTTAGAAAACGCTATTATCAAAAGACAAACAAAGAGCTATGGTCTTGTGGATAAGTACCTGTATGTAGAAAGGAATACCAGCACTGCGCCTTGTAGCACAAAGTTTAGACGAAGGATCACTGTATTTAATTTCCTCTAAAACATTCCATAACCACTGTTCTGGTAGCTTCTGCAGACTCACATTAGGGCATCTAAAAGGCATATATAAAACAAACATCTGGAATTATCAGGAACCAAAAGGTAAAAGTGTAAAATTTTGATATATATTAACACTGTTAGAAAAGAATATATATCCTTACATTTGGAGGGAGGAAAACTGAAAAATGTCTCACTTTCTATTTTTCACCTACTTTCTTCTTTATTTTAGGTCATAGAATTTGAAGCTATCAAAGATTCCATTCTTATAAAGGCATATGAAGCATGTGTCTTCTCTGCAAAATGAGCTGTAATACCTAGGCTTGCACCCTGGGTAGTAAACGTTTTGAAGATGGTTAATCAAGCTTTCACAGATGTTCTATACTACTGCAAAACTTCAGAGTTCCAACAAAGAAAACTTAATTTTATTGTAATTTATGTTCTATTCAAAGAAAATACATTTTAGTAATCATTTTCATCTCTCTCAAAATATGCACTACCACAAATAAAATTTTCAACCAGATCATACAGAGAATTAATAAAGCAAGTTATCTGGGAAGAGGCATAAACATTTTGAGGTTATTTGGACATTATTGTTAGTGAAATTCTGCTCTATTATATTAGGTGTTATTCTAGGGTGCTTAAGAACATTTAATTTAAAAAAAAAATTTAACTTTGTCCTACCAGATTGTGTAACATTATTCTTAGAAATAGGATATTTAATGGCAGACCCATGCAATGATTTTAGGAGAATCGTAAACAGATTTAACTAAAATTATTATATGAAAATAAAGGGATAAAGTCCAAAGGAAATACACAGTAGTCCCCCATTATCCAAAGGGGGTACATTCCAAGACACCCCCTCCCCCTCAGAGAGGCCTGAAACCATGACAGTACCGAACCATATATATTCTGTTTTTTCCTATACATATATTCCAATGATAAAGTTTAATTTATAAATTAGGTACAATAAGAGATTAACAACAATAACAAGTAATAAAATAGAACAATTATAACAATATACTGTAATTAATAAAAGCCATGTGACTGTGGTGTCTCACTCTCTCTCTCTCTCTCAAAATACCTTATTATATGTACATACATGTGGATACACTGGACAAAGGGATGATTCATATCCCTGACAGGATGGGACGATGCAAGATTTCATCATGCTACTCAGAATGGTGTATAATTTGAAATTCATGAATTGTTTACTTCTGGAACTTTCCAGTTAATATTTTAGACTAATGTTGACCATGGGTAAGTGAAACCCTCGAAGCAAAACCACAGATAAGGGGAACTACTGTACACTCTTTTGTAAATAGAGGAAGATATTCTGCAGAAAGATAACTGATTTCTAATTTGTACTGAGAATTAGATCTCTTAGAAACAACATGGGATTTTTTTCTTTATTCTAGTTTGGTACAAGTAGACAACTTCGGTTTCTGACTAACCATTCCAAACAACAACTCGAATTTAGTTGTTTATGTCTTGCATAGAACAAAATATATAAAAATAATATTACTCTAAAGGAGGCATTTGACACTGGCCTAAAAATATTATTTCAGCCATAAACGTTACAATCAAATCTCTGTACTCCCAGCAGGCTCTGTAATTTTAAAGTTTCCTTTTAGCATGGCTTAAAATCCATTACCTTACTCCTATTTCTTCCCACTAACTGCACTCAGCCACCCAAATCACCAACAACAATCTGAACTACAAGAGTAAGAGATTCAAAGGCATAACAACCAAATGCAAAGTGTGAACCTTGTTTCTAATTTGAACAAAACAAATGTAAAAAAGATATTTTCAAATAAGAGAAATTTATTTGTGTACTAAATATTATATGACAGCAAGGAATTATATATAGGATGTGCCAATGGTCTTATGGATGTGGAAGAAACTGTTCACATTTTTTAGAGTTGCGTACTGAAGTTTGTAAGAGTAAAAATAACAAATGAAGGATGTACTTACAACACAATGAAAGGGATAGATGAAGTAAGTACATCAAAACTTTGAGAACTGTTAAATCTGGGGGGTACGCAAAGATGGTTCAGTATATTATTTTCTCTACTTTTATATATATCTGTGTACACCTATGTTTGAAATTTTAATGTTTTATATATGTTTATATATTTACATTTAAAATTTGTTTGAAAATTTTCATTATAAAAATAATCCTTCCACACTTTATTTACAAAGATTGAAGTTACTTCCCATCATTAGATTCATATCTTTTAAAATTTAAGATAAATGCCTTGTGTTTATGGAATAATTTCTCTAGTTTATTCCTAACATTGCCCACTTGGTATAACCCTCACGCAGTTGTCCAAACAAAAACGGAAATCCAATTTCCTAAGAGCAGCTATTTACATATTTATGATACAATAATGGATTACTGCCTTCTTTTGCTCATTCTTCACTGTCTTTTACGTATATTTGGGTTAATTTACTCCACAATGGCAGAGCAGGGAACAGAAAAAAAAAATTAAAGTGAAAGTCATCATTTTGTGATCTACACATTCAAAAAAAAGGTTGGAGTCACAGAGGTAAAGTAAGTAAAAACTACTTGATCTAAGATTACATGTCGATTTCATTTACTTGTATTTTCTTCACCACCACAGGACCACTGGCAATGTAAGACTGGCTTGCAGATAATGAGGCAGTCTAAGGTAAAGTCTCCTGCAGGAATTCACTGTGTGAAGGAGAAGAGGAACCGCTGGAGATGAGGGGCATTCTCCTTATTTTCCTGTCAAGTGCACTGAGATACTAGTACAACAAATACTAGTTCAGTAATGCTCCTGGACACTGTCAGTGAGTCTTTCCTAGGCCTCCCTGAGCTGGCCTTCCCAGAGGATCTAGCAAAACCAACCAATCTGAGAAGGCAGGCAGGTCTGGTATCAGAGCAGCCACCTCACCATACATCACCCTTTCTTCCCTGAACATACTATGGCCCTAACCTTTCTACTTCAATCTAACCCTTTGCTGACAGAAATCTGAGCTGCACTTTGAAGGATGTGTAGGCAAAATGGTGGAAGGCCCACGTATGTGAGGTCGAGGAAGTGGGAGATGAGAGGACTGAGGAAATAGCTTAAGTAAAGGCCCTAGAGGTAATTCCCTAATTTAGATTCTTGGTTATTATAACTATAAACAGTTAAACAGGCCAATTTATCTCCTTGAGTGTTGTATACTAAGACTAAATGCTCCTTGTTAAATTGGGAAATTTGAAAACAAAGGCCAGAAGAATGTTCAACAAGGTGAAGCCTGGCAAACTGCCCTCAGTAAAGCCCCTTCTGCTCACTGCCAAGAATCCAGGAACCTCAAGAGCTCTGGGAAATACTCAAGGCACTAACTCCTGCCATCTCGTCCAGACGTTCTTGTTTTGCTCTGGAATTCCCCAGGATCATACCAGCTTTTCTGCAGAATATTTCAATGATCTAGTTTCCAATTAGGACTCTGCTGTTGGACCTTATTTCTCTGATTCCCTTGCTTCCCAACTCTGCATCTCTCCCAGGCCAGTCCGGCCCCCACGGCCATACAAGGAGATTGGTCCAATAATACAACTCCCACCCTTTGTACTAAACTGACACATGCCATATTTTCAACAAAATCTACTTACAAGTTTTGTTTAAATTATCATAATAAAAATATATTTGCCAGCCACTAAAGAAAAAAATACATTTATTAAGTGCCCTTTATACATCAGATACAACATCAAGCTTTTCACACCTTACCTTTGCAACAAACAAATCTGTGAGAAGATATTATTTCTCCCAACTGAGAGATGAAAGAATATATCATAGTGATTAGGGGACAGATTATGGAGCCAAGTTATTTAGTTTAGAATCCTTGCTCTGCCACCTAACGGCTGTCTGATCCAAGATATCATAAAACTTCCCCATTTCTCACTTTCCTCTTCTATAAAATGAAAGTTGTTGGAAGGATTCAATGAGTTTATTCCTATAAAGCGTTTAATGAGTTCTTAATAGTTGTTTTCTAAAATTATTATCCATTTTTATGAGAAAAACAAGTATTAAAGAGTGTCAACTGAACTTCTGATAAAGATAGAAAAGTTGGTTTACATTTTGATAAGACATCCCCTCCATACACATACAATGCATATTAATAATAACCCAAATATACAAATAGAACCTCGAATCCAACTGAGCTCAAAAGTAAGATCATTATCATGGTAAAATAGAATAGAAACACAAAGCAGTGAGTGTGCCGATATCAAAGATCTGCAGGGTTACAGCTCTAGAAGAAGCAGTGATAGCCAGGAAGTCAGTTCTTGTGTGGTAACTCACCTTACTCCCAGGAAATGGGCGATTTCAGTAGCCTCCTCTCCCATGAAAGTTGACAAAAAGCTACTGCCAGAGCTGTTTGGGGCTGCAGCAGTACAAAGCCATAGGCACAAGGAGACTGTGAACCAGGCTGACTACTAACTTGGTGACCGGATCTGTGATATTCCCAGTTATTATTGTAGATGGGAGACTCAAAATGCCACTATCCAATCTAGTTCCTTGATAAAGAGGAATGAGCCCAGAGAGACAAACAAACAATCTAAAAAGGCTCCCAATAATAGCCAGCAAATCAACATTCAAAACATAGAAATAAGTTTGATACAGAGAAAGACAATCTAAAAAATCAATAATTAGAACATAAATTCACTTCACATGAAACTTAATTTTATGGAGCAGTCTGACAAAGACCTTAAAATAACTTTGGAATACTCAAGAGATAAATGAAGTAATAACTTTTATTTAAAAAGAGCAAGAAATTATGAAAAACAGTCAGTACTGAAGTAAGAACAGGTATATGTGAAAATAAAGATATTGGAAATGTTGAAAACAAAAATGTACTTTAAAAAATAATAGACAAGATGAATTCTAGGGAATTAATCACTTAGAAGATAGTTTTCTGAGAAATGTACCCAAAATAGAACACAGAAAGACAAAGATACAATACACACACACATATATAGTGTGTGCATGTATATACTGTGTGTGTATGAAAGACAAAAACACAAAATATATATATTATGTAAGGAAGTCTG